GACTTGTCCATTGTAGAGTTTATTGGCATAAAGTTCTACATAATCTGACTTTACTGTCTATTTAATATGTTTATAATCTAGAGTTATGCCATATCTGTCATTTCTGTTATTAGTTAGCATTTTATATATTCTCTCTTTTTTCCCTAACCAGTATAGATAGAAGTTTACTAATTTTATTGATCTTTTCTAAGATCCAGCTTTTCTTTAATATTTCTGTATTTTTCATTTTATTAATTTCCTCTTCAATCTTTATTATTTCATTTACTCTATTTAGTTTGGGTTTCACTTGCTTTTCTTTTCTGGTCTCTGAAGGGGAAGCCACAGAAATTTTAGAGGTATTTTCTTTTGTAATATGGGCTTTTAATGTTATACATTTTTCTTTTTTTTAAAAGAATTATTTTATTTGACTTTATTTATTATTGTTATCATTATTATTTTTCAGTTTGATCAGAGAGAGACAGAGAGAGAGTGAGAAAGCAAGCCATCAGGTCCGAGACTTGAACCGTGGTTGGCCATGTGGGAGTCCAGCGCCTTTAACCACCATGCCACTTGGCGACCCCAATGTTATACATTTTTCTACAAGTAATTCTTTAGGTGGTAGCTTAAATTTTGATGATTTTTTATTGTGTTCAAAATAATATCTAATTTCCCTTCTTTGACTTCTGTGTTAACTTAGACATGTTATCTAGTCTTCAAATATTTGGAGATTTTTTCGATTTTTTTTTTCTGATTTCTAATTGAATTCTGTTGTGTTCAGAAAACATACTTTGTGTCATTTGCACACTTGTTTCTTAAATGTGTTGACACTCATATTTGAGAATGTCACATCTTGGTAGATGTTTTGTATTCACTTGAAAAGAATGTATATTCTGTCCTATAAATGTCAATTAGAGCCAGTTGGTAGTAGATAATAGCTAGTTCAAGTCTTTGGTATTGTTCCTGATTTTCTGTCTGCTTATTCTATCCGCTATTGAGAGGGATGTTGAAAACTCCAGCTCCATATTTTTGTCTATTTCTTCTTGGTCAGTTTTGCTTCATGTGCTTTGAGGCTCTGCTATGATGCACATAGATATTTAGAATTTTTATGTCTTCTTAATGAATTAACTCTTTTGTCACTTTAAAATTGCCCTTTCTATCTCTTAAAATTCTTTGGTCTAGAATCTATTCTGTCTGATATTAAAACAGCTATTGTAGATTTTTAAAAAAAGTAGTGTTAGAATATTTATTTATTTTTTCTTCTATCATTTTATCTTTTTTCCTTCAAATTGCCAGAGGGCCTGTATGCTCACCAGAGAGAGACAGAGAAACAGCGAGAGAGAGAAAAAGAGAGAGAAGGAGAAAGCTCTCCTTAATGGGTGTGGTCATGTCACAATTCCTTCTTCTCCATTTCTCTATCTATTGGGGTTTTGGACATACATGTGTCTGGTATGTTTCTCAAGCTTCTGTGGACTACATTCAAACCATAGTCAGCCATGTGGGATCTGATTTCCTTAACTACTAGGCTTCAAGGCTACCCCTTCTTTTACTTTTAATCCATTTCTGTGTTTTTAAATTTTTATTTTAAAGTTTTTGCCACAGGGGATATACATTTGATATAGAGAGGGGAAGAAAGTGAAAAATCACCCCCAGGGGGATGACTGTGCCATAATCCCTTCTCCATTCTCCTCTAGGGATTTTGGGCCTGCATTTATACCTATTTGATGTGTTTCAAGCCACTGTGTTTGGGACTCGAACCGTGGTTGGCCATGTGGGAATCCAGTGCCTTAACCACCATGCCACCTCCTGGCCCATTTTTTGTTGTTATTTGGTATGCAGCATATATTGGGTCTTGCTTACTTACCCATTCTGACAATGTCTACTTCATTGAGGGTATTCAGGTCATATACATTTAATATAATGATTGGTATCATTGGGTTTTAGTTTGAATGTTCCATCTGATTTTTTTTTTCTGAAGAGGTTTTTGCCTTAGGGTAGGTGTACTTGCTGGAGCGATTAGAAAGACAGAGACAGTGAGAAGGAAAGTGAGAAATCACACACACACACACACACACCCACACCCTCCAGGGGGGATGGGCATGCTGCAATCCCTTCTCCTCCATTATCCTCCCAGGATCTTGGGTACACATGCACATGTGCCCTAGTGATTTTTCAAGCCACAGGGTCTTAGATTCCAACCATTGCTAGCCACGTGGGAGTCTAGTAGCATAACTACAACGCCATCTACTGGCCTCAATTTTTTTTTTTTTGGTTTTGTCTGGTGTCTGTTTTTCCTCATTTTCTGCCTTCATTGGAATTGAATATCTTTTATGATTCTGTTTTGAATTTTTGCTGCCTTGTTTATTTGTATTATTAGTTGCTTTGGGGTTTATAGTACATATTTTTAATTTATCATTGTTTACCTTCAAGTGATATGATATTATTCCACATAGTTTTTTTTTTTTTTTTTTTTTTGAGAAGTTTTGGCTATGGCTATAGGGTGTGTGTGCTCACCAGAAAGACAGAGAGAGACAGAGAGACAGCGAGAAATCACCCCCCAGGGGGGATGGCCATGCTGCAATCCCTTCTCCTCCATTCTCCTTTCAGGATCTCGGGCATGCCCGCACACGTGCCCAACATGAGTTTAAGCCACTGGGTCCAGGACTCGAACCATGCTCAACTACATGGGAGTCCAGTGACATAGCCATTGCGCCAACTACTGGTTCCAGAGTTTTAAAAATTTAATAATGATATGCGTACATTTATCTCCTTCTGGCCTTTCTGTTAGAGCTGTCATATATTTTATTTGTATGCATTTAAAAACTCCATAATAAGTTATTATTTTCCCTTTAATCTGCTAGTCGTCTTTTAGGGTGATTTAAATAGTTAAAAATATCTTGCATATTTATCTTCTCAGTGACCATTTAATTTTTTTTTTTTTTAATTTGTGTAGATCAAAGCTTTTCCAAATGCTGTCACTTTCTTTCTACCTGAAAGACTTCTTTTAACATTTTTTGTAGTGTAGTTTACCTGGTGATGAATTTTTTCAGTTTTATATGTATGAAAACGTTTTCATTTTTCTTTTGTTTTACTGATACCAAATTCTAGTTTGTTTTATTTTCTTTCAAAACTTCAAAGATATAGTTTTACTGTTTTCTGGCTTGCATATTTTTTGATAAGTCTGCTGTCACTCTTACCTGTTTTTTTATACATAATAAATCTTTTTTCCAGATGTTTTTAGGTTTTTCTCCTTATTGGTTTAAGTAGTGTTGGTACACTGTTATGCTTCTTGTGCTTGAATTTATCTACATTCTTAGATCTGTGGCTTGTCTTTTCTTTTTTAAAATCAAATTTGAAACATTTTTGTACATTATAGCTTCACATACATTTTTCTTTTCTATCTTCATGCTCCCCTTTTTTATGGACTCCAGTTACATTTATATTAGGCTGCCTGAGGTTGTTCAAAAGCTTGCTAATGATTTGTTCAGTTAAAAAAATTTTCAATCTTTTCTTCACAATAAATTATTTTTTTCATTATGTATGTTTTTTTTCTCAGTTAATTTTTGTTTTCTATAGGGTGTGTGTGTGCTTGCTTGAGAGAGTATGAGAGAGAGAGATAGAAATTGAGAATGCACCCTTTGATAAAGCACATTGCTGTGTCTTCAAGTTCACTAGTATTTGTGTAAGTGTGTGTACACATACATGCACATGTTTTTAAGTAGAGTCTTCTCTGCCATGATCTCTTCTCCTGACTTAGTCTCCTGAGTAGCTGTGGCTACTGATTCTTGCTCACATGCCCAGCTCTTTGGGGTGGCCTGGGAATTAAACATGAGCCTCTTACGTGGTTTTAACCTGCTGGCTGAGCGTGGTTTACCAATATTTTTTCCTGTAGTGTCCAAGCTGCTGTCACCTTATTTGTGGGTTTTTAAATGACAAATGTTATAATTTTTATCTGTAAAAGTTCAATGTGGTTATTTTTCAATATCTTCTGTATCTCTAACATATTGAATCTTTTCTTTAGATTCTCCAACATATGGAATATAGTCATTATAAGCATTTTAATAGCTTGTCTGCTAATTCAATTATCTCTAATTTCTGCATCGATTTTAATTTTTAAAATAAGATATGATATTTTCCTGCTTATCTACATGTTTAGTAATTTTTCCTGATACTAGACATTATAAATTTTACTAATTTTTATGCTGGATATTTTGCATTTTTATACAAAACTCTTTAAAAGTATTTACACAATGACCTGTGCATTAAGTTTTCCATTCTGGCTGGGAGAAATGGAATATTCCTGGCCCTCTGTAAATACTATTTTGTTTAATCTTTCTGGTCAGATCTTTCCCATCTTCAGTTTTCTCTCACGCATGGACCAATCAGTACTCTGATAAATACTCTGGAAGACCTTCTGTAGATCTTTGGTGTTCTTTTCCTGTGCTTTCTCTCCTCTTTGGTACTCTTTCCTGTGAACTCAAGCAATGTTGACCTCCCAAGTTCCAGCTTTGTCTCCTCAACTCTGGAAGACCAATACACTTCACCTGGATTTACACTCCCTGTGCTAGGAATTCTCTTCAGGCAATACACTGGGACAAATGTAGGATGTATCTTGTTTTTAGTCTCTTAGAGAACATTAACCTACATTGCCTGATATCTGATTTCTTTGAAGTTGATGCTTCATATATTTTGCAGGTTTTTTAGTTGGTAGAAATATAAATATGTTACTCTCTTGTGGCCCGAAGTGGTAATTCCCTCATTACACGGGCTTTCAGAGTTGGGTGTTTTGTTTGTATAGAACCTAATATATTTGGTTTCTTAATAGATTATGTTGGTGGTTTCATTGTAGCACATATTTAAATATGTTTTTATTTGTCAATATTTTTAATGAAAATGAAAATATTCTATAGAGGTTTACAAGAATTAATACTTTACAGTTTGTTAAAATCTTTAAAAAATTCTTACAAGCATAAGTGGCCCATAATAACCAAATTAAATGATATATATATTTACTTATTTACTAGGTCTTCATCCTCCAGGTCCACCTTTAGCAAGACCCATTCTCCCCCGGGAACGAGGTGCTCTGGATAGAATTGTTGAATATTTAGTCGGTGATGGTCCACAGAACAGGTAATATTTACTAGTATGGTAGATAAATGAAATGAAAATAATTTATTGGTCAGGAGGTATGTATGTGTACTAGATGTTTTACGTAGAATATAACGAAGTGTTTCATAGCTCTGCAAAAGAGTACATATTCAACTGTTTTTCTTTAAGAGTTTGGACATAGTAGTCTATATGAAGTCCATTTGGAAAAAATGTCAACTCTGCTATAAATTATTTTTAGAGAAATTGAGTTACTTCATTGAAACTTATATATTTTTTTTTAAGAGAGAACTTTTACTTTAGGGCGTGTGCATTTCCCAGAGAGACAAGAAGTGAGATAGCCACACTGCAATCAATACCTTTTCCACTCTCCTTTTGGGATTTTGTACATGCACGTATATGCTCCTGGTGTGAGTTTTAAGCCTCCAGGTCGAGTATTCGAACTGTGGTTGGCTATGTGGGAGTCTAGCAGTGTAACTGTTTATGCCATCTGCTGGTCACATTAAAACTTTTTTTTGAGAAGTTTTTGCTACAGAGCGCGTGCGCTTACCAGAGAAACAGAAAAAGAGAGACAGAAAGAGAAAACTCACCTCCTGGGGGGATGGCCACGCCACAATCCCTTCTCTATTCTGCTCTTGGGATCTTGGGCACACACGCACGCACCCCGCGTGAATTTAAGCCACCGGGCCCAGGACCAGAACTGTGGTTGACTACGTAGGAGTCCAGCAACATAGCTATTACACCAACTGCTGATCCCCACGTTGAAGCTTTTAAACTTGAAGCGCATAAAAGTAGTGAATGCTTGGTAGATTGTGAGAAACAGAATTTTGTAGGTGTTAGTACTGGACTCAATGATACCTTTAATTTTAATAGTGATGAGAACAGTTTACATGTATCTAGCACTTAAAATTATTTTTAAAAAATAATTATCTATTTAATTTTATTTATTATTATTGTTTAAATTTTGCTAAAAGGCATGTGTGCTCACCAGAGAGAGACAGAGAGAGAGAAGGAGAAAGTGAGAAAGCAAGTTGGTCAGGTCCAGGACTCAAATGAGAGTCAACCATGTGGGAGTTCAGCATCTCAACCACCATGCCACCCGCTGGCCCCTAGCACTTAAAATTATTTTTAAAAAATAATTATCTATTTAATTTTATTTATTATTATTGTTTAAATTTTGCTAAAAGGCATGTGTGCTCACCAGAGAGAGACAGAGAGAGAGAAGGAGAAAGTGAGAAAGCAAGTTGGTCAGGTCCAGGACTCAAATGAGAGTCAACCATGTGGGAGTTCAGCATCTCAACCACCATGCCACCCGCTGGCCCCTAGCACTTAAAATTCTGAAAATATTCTTCCAATTATCTGGTTTGAGTTTTATAATAACTCTAGGAAGATTGATATGGTATGGGTAGAACAGTTATCATAATATAGACTTTTTAAAAAATCATAGGGGAATTGGAACCAGCAGATGGCATAATGGCTATAGCGCTAGACTCCCATGTGGTTGACCACGGTTCGAGTCCCAGACCTGGTGGCTTAAACTCACGCTGGGCATGTGCTTGTGGGTACCCAAGGTCCCAAGAAGAGAATGGAGGAGAAAGGATTGCAGCGTGGCCATTACCCCCCAGGAGGTGATTTCTCACTTTCTGTCTCTCTGTCTTTCTGGCAAGCACACACGCCCTATAGCCAAAACCTCTCCCAAAAAAAGGGAAAAAAAAGTCATAGGAGAATAGAGTAGATGCTTGACAACTTTACTATTTAATATGTTATTATTTTAATAAAGGGACTATAATTTAATGTTAATGAAGTAACTTGTATGTTTTAAAACAATAATGACATTAGAGAGAACCAAATATATGTTGAACATGTACACAGAACAGAGAAGACGTGTAAATAGAAAATGAGGAAAATGTCTAAATATAACTGAGGAAAGATACAAGAATCATGATGATATATAGAAATTAGCTTTTGGACTAGACTCCTATGAAAATAAATGTATTTCTTTACTGTAGACTTCTCAGTCTTTAATAATATTCATTGTGAATCTCTAAGAGAGTTCCATTTTTTCCTAACCTTATCTGACCAAAGATTTGGGTACTATCATTCCCCAGGAATATACATTGGGATATGCTTAAATTTAAATGTTCTGTCTTCAAATATGTTTTACCAACTTAGGATGGATATATTCATTTAACTGTTCCTTAGTTTATTTTTAATTTGATGTATAAATTATATTGTAAAATTGTTAAGACTTTGGCTTTAAATTTTTATTTATTTATTTATTATTGTCAGAGGGTGTGTGCATTGGCCAGAGAAAGAGAGGAGTGAGAGAGAAAGCACCCTTTAATGCGATGCGGTCATGCTGCAATCCCTCTCCTTCAATTCTTCATCCTATTGGGATTTGGGGCATGCACATACCCAGTGTGTTTTGTAAACTGCTGGGGCTAGAATCCAGATTACAGTTGGCAACGTGGGATCTGTTTCCCTTAACCATTAGCTTTTGTTTAATGTTGTTGGTGATTTAACAAGTAGCATCTAATCTATTATAGCATATTTACTAATGTTAAAATGTACATTAGCCATGATGGCTAAAATGGCTCCTCCATTGAGTCTTGTCTGAATTTATAATTGGTCTGTTCATTTTTCCCTATGGTATAGGTATGCCCTTATATGTCAACAGTGTTTTTCTCATAATGGCATGGCTTTGAAGGAAGAATTTGAATACATTGGTAAGAATTATTAAGACCTTGAGATTTAAATATTTTTATTCTGAAATATTTCATTCTATGGCACTTCTCATATAATGTCATGTTATTTTAGATACTGTCTCTCTATATATTGGTCAGGCATATTGTCCTTATTTTAATATTCAGACCAAAGCAGGGAAGACAGTTCAGGTTTCTTTCTCCTATAATATGCAGCCTTAGGCTAGTTGTTCTCAACTCTCACTGTGTAGCAGAATCCCCTGAAGAGCTTTAACAAATTATGATATCCAGATTCCACCTACAGAGCATCTGCTTTTTTTCCTTTCCTTTTTTTTAAAAGGTATTTTGCCATAGGGTGTGTGCACTCACTGGAGAGAGATGAAGACAGTGAGAGAGAAAGTGAGAAATCATTCCCCAAGGTGGTCGGCCATACCGCAATCCTTTTTCCTCCAGTTCTCCTCTTGGAACACATAGACACACGCACACACGCACACACACCTGGCGTGATTTTCAGGTTGCTGGGTCTTGGGATCAAACTGGTCAGCCAGTCATGTGGGGAGTCCAGTGTTTTAAACATTATACCACCTAGTAGCCCTCAGAGAGTCTGTTCTAATTAATCTGGGTTGAGGTCTAGGAGTCAGCATTTATTTATTTTTTAATTTTAATTTTTTTAGATTTTTCCTGGAGCATGTGTATTGGCGAGAGAGAGAGAGAGAGAGAGAGAGAGAGAGAGAGAGACGGACAGAGAGATGGCAAGAAAGAGAAAGTGAGAAATTACCTCCAAGAGGGGGTGGTCATACATAATCCCTTCTTTTCCATTCTCCTTTTGGGATTTTGAGCAGACTCACAAATGACTGGTGTATTTTCCAAGTCACCAGGGCTGAGACTTGAACTGTGCAGTTGGGCTTGTGGGATCCAGCCACCTTAGCCACCATGCCAGCTGGTTGACCTAGAAACCAGCATTTTAAAAACAAGTTCCACAGATGATTCTCATGTGCAGCCACTATGAAAAACTACTGTGGTAAATTAGTTATGCTTCTGAAATATGATATACTAGATTTTTGGGTAAATGAGCTAAGTTTTGGATTTTAGAATATCTGATTATTCTGGTGATTAGAAATGCAATTTTTTTTAATACATTAAGATATTAAATATAGTTTTGCTATTTGTTAATGTGCAGTGCAACTTAGTATATCTTTTCTGCTAATAATAATAATTAGGAAGTATGTAAAAATAGCCTTAGTTAGAGCATTTACCTTTATATATTAAAATAACAGGTTAATTTCACAAGTGATAATTAACTTTTGAAAGCTTCTTTTCACTGTTTGCAAAAGCAGTCTTGTGAGTTATCTGATTAGTCCTTGGACTTCCTTTTATTTGTGGTTTTGCTTACTTTAAAAAAAATTCTTTGCAGCTTTCCGATGTGCCTACTGTTTTTTCTTGAATCCTGCAAGAAAAACCAGACCCCAGGCTCCAAGACTTCCGGAGTTTAGTTTCGAGAAGAGGCAGACAGTAGAAGGCACAAGTTCAGGTGGTCCATTGCCATCAGGAAGTATGCTTTCATCAGAGAACCAAGTCAGTGAAGGTATGAATATGTTAATTAAAACTATTTTCTCTCGTACTGATGTGTGCTCTTTAACAATAATAAAAGCATAATGCTTTTAGGTAAGAAGGGTTAATTTATCAGATTTTGCCGCATGCATATATGAGCTAGCTTTTGCTCTGATATTATTGCCTCCTGTATGGTTGTTATGAAGGTTTCAGTTTTAAAGTGTAGATTATTGTTGTGATAAGCAACACCTAACATCAGCCAGGTAAACATTGTTTATGCAGTGACCTCTTCTAAAAACTGTTGATTTGACAAGAAATGTTTTCAGGAAGTCATTTTTTCAGTTTTTCTGAGTGGAACAAATTATTAGAATTTTGAAATAACCATTAAAAGGATAAAATACTTATAGTATTTGTGATTAATGTTGATAAAATAGTGTTATTCTACCACTTGAATTGATAGAAATTATTAGGAAGTAAGAACTTACTAGGAAGCGGGAAACTTTGGAATTGGAAAGTCGACCTTGTATTTTTTTTGATAACTATAGCAATAGGACTCGTGTTCAATTGAAACGATTGATATAGGTGCGCAGATTAACATTGTCCCTCATGTAAAATCAACTTTATTTTAGAAAAATAGAATTTATAGAGTTTTAGAACCTGTCTTACAATTCTATTTTAGGAATTTGTGAGGAAGTTTCATGGAAGAAATTAAGATGGAAGATCTGTTAGTTTCCAACTTTTTCTTACTATTAATATTGGTCAGAAGCTCTTTGTTAATCAGCTTTGAATTATGAAGATTGTTGAAATTGTGACACAGGCTATGACATCTTGGTGCTATGTCTGGTGTCAAAAAAAACAATGCACATTTTAGGCTCAAATCATATATTTATTTCACTGTCAGTAGTCATCCTTTTAACTCCTAAGAATTACCATTAATGCGTTTTTAATTTCTTCTTCATAAATAATTGCTTTAACTAAGATATTATTTGAGGTATTATTTGAATTTTCAGATATCAGCCAATTAGTATGATATTTGAGTATATATATATAAAAAAACTTTGAATAATGAACCTAAAATAATGTGTGTTGTATAGGGCTTGGCTTTTGGCTTACTAACAAATATGAAAATGGATTTGACTACGTATAGCTATGACAAAGGCCTGTATACTTCCAGCAATGAATCAATGTGTTCGTCTTCTCCAAGTCTGCAACGTCGTCTCCAAACATAATGTCCGATTTTTTCTTTTGCTTAAGTCATGCTCTGAGCTGCATGTTGTCACATGCAAACCATCTGCCTTGCCAGCACAGCCTCTTGGAACTGAAAATGAAAGGATTTCATATTGAAGATGCCTAGAGGAAAATTAGAACTCCTTTCCATGAGTAATTTGCTTATGGAAGCTAGAGTGAATATGTGAAAGTCAATAGACTGGACATAAAAAGAAGAAAAAAAAAAAGAAAAAGCAAGAAAGGCCAACACAATAGAAGTCTTGATAATGAGGCCCTTGCTTTATATCTTCTGCTAAGGTCAAGATAGATAGTTAGCAAACAACACCCAGCTCTACCTTTCCTTCTCATCTGATCTAGGAGGAGAAATACCCCAGATGTCTCATTTTCTGTCTGAAATCTCCGGAATGAAGTCTAACTGGCTCAAACTCAGCCCCAAAAAGGTAATGTTTCTAAGAGAAGACAAAACTTGAGTCAGTGGTAGCGCTAAAAACTGAAGCAACACTTCCCATTTGGTTAAGCTAGTTTTTAGAGTAGTAACTTTTTCGTAGTTCTCTTTGGATTTCATCAGTGTGGCCATGACTGCTTCTTCTTTGGCTTTTCAGAAGACCGAACTTTTTTCCAAGACTCCTGGCTCAACATTGTGATACAGTTATCAATTCCAAACTGGATTTCTTTAGTAAATGACTAGAAGTGTTTCTGACAAACAGATGAAACTATTTGTTTTGAATGCTGGTGACATACCTTTATGATTCAATTGTTAAGTAAGATCATCTCATCTCAGTCACAGCAAATGTAATTGAAGGCTTAAATTTCTGAATTCTAAATTTTTTTTGATGATGTAGGAATAAAGTCTAGAAAAAAAAAAACCACCTTTCTTGCTATAGTTTTTATGTTTTTACAAGGATTAAAGTGGCTCCTTGATGGCAATGGGAACTGTGGAGATTAACTTAAGTGACTTTATAGAGGGAACCAAAAGATAACTTCTTTTCATTAGACTTTTCCTTCAAAAAGAGCAGTAACTTTATATGAATAACCTAGAAATATTAAAGCAAACATATTTTTCAATCTAAGATGCAAGACTTTGAAGTTAAACTTGTTTTGGAGAATGATATTAGAAGATTTTACTTTTAGGATGAGGCACAAGCCTTTTAAAATTTCTGGACTACTCTTTAGAACAACATATGAAATCTTGGAAAGTTTTCATCAAAGAAGAAGACCTTGAAATTTCTCCCATTAGTTGTTCATTTGAATTCTTAGAATTTTAGGAACGTATATCCAGGTGCTTTGGTAATAGACTATGAGAGAAACACCAGAAATTAGGAACATGGATTGAATTTTTATCTGGAGGGGATAGTAGATATGGCATGCCAAAAAATTAACTGTTTTTAGATTTTTCAGTTTCTTTTATAATGAAATTTATAATGCTTGAATCTTTACTGAGTCATATTAAAGTGGTTTATCAGTTTTGCCTTTGCAAAAAAAAATGCTATGTTTTCTAAAATACCTAACATGTAGTAGTATTTTTGTCAGATGTGGTAATCATTAGAGTATTAGGATTCTACATCGTTGATATACTAAAGCAATGATTATTTGGCTAATATGTTTTTAAAATGTTAATATTGTGTTTTTATTGTTTAGTTATATTTGTCTAGGTCTTATGTAATTATGTTAGTAGAAAATAGCTTTTACTCAACCAATAATAACTTGCAAGTAATAAAACTTAGGACATCTAGTTTTGATAGAATCTAATAGATTCTATCAAAAATAATAAGTATAATTTATATAAGGTGAAATTTATCACTAATCTGATTTTGTTCCTTCCTTTTCTTTGTTTTGTGCAAAATATTGTTGCTATTAGTTTGTATTGAACCAGGGAATTTTTTTTCTTTTTTTTTTAGTATTTTTGTTTTGATGCTCTAAGAAATTGGACTATTTCACAATGTAACTTTTGTTGAATTCTGTGTATTTACCAAATCCAAAAAGCTCATGTCTGTTTTTATTATTTAATTAGGTACCATATACTCAAGATTTAAACTTGTCTGTAGTATGTTTTCAATGTTTAATTTAGACATAGTTATTTTGGCCTTCTGGCTCTCTCTTCTAAAACACCTTCACTTAATGGTTTACTTTTAAATCATTGCATGATAATCAAACTCTTGTCTGGTTCAGCAACAGCAAATAATTAAACGGTATTCCATGTATTGAATATTAGCGTTTTTCTCATAGGTAGTTATAATTTAATTGAATTTTACTCTGAATCATTGAGTTCAGTTGGGATGAAATTCATGCCTTTGTTCCTTAAATGTAATTTAGTGATTTTCCTTAAGGCAGGAAAATCTTGTAAAAACTGCCTTGTTTAAAGTCCATGAGTGGGGCCAGCCAGATAGCGTATTGTTTAAGGCAGCTGGATCCTACATGGACTACTCCATACTTTGAGTCCTGGACTCAGCGACTTAGAAATCACACTGGACATGTGTGCATGCATGCCTAAAATCCCAAAAGGAGAATGGAAGGAGAAGGACTGTGACATGGCCAATCCTCCCAGGGCATGATTTCTTACTTTCCTCTCTCTCTCTTTCTCTCTCTCACTGGGAGCACATGTGCCTTATAACAAAAACTGAAATATAAACCTATAAATATAAACCTGTCTTTGTGTGTGGTTTATAGGTGAGACAGTGGTGTTCATTATACAATTACACTCAATCTGATGAAGTTGAGTCTTCTAGCTAAGTTGCCTAATCAACAGTTGTTACTATTTTTTTTTTTTTTTTTGTACCAAAAGCTTCTCTGTCAAGAATATCGGAGTTGGGGCAGGGCATGTGGCAGGAATGGGGAAACAAATTCCATGAATAATTAAAAAAAATCATATCGTGGTATATAATTTTTTCTCCTTTTAAAAAATAATTATTTTATTTAACTTTATTTATTTACTTATTTTTACAAATTGTTTTTAAAATTTGACCAAAGAGGGACAGAGCAAATGAGAGAGAAACACACAGACAGTAAAAGTGAGAAAGCTAGCCACCAGGTCCGGGACTCGAACCATGGTCTGCCATGTGAGAGTCCAGCACCCTTAACCACTATGTCACCTGCTGGCCCCTATTGTTTTCTTTTAAATATAGATGTCAAAGTTGATTTAAAATTTTTCTTACAGATAGAATTAGGCTATATAGATAACTGTTCATATTTTAAACGAGGCCATATAGGAAAGAACAGGACTGTTTAATTATTGTGAACACAAAGACTGCTTTCCCTTTTATTAGTGTATGCACAAATATGAACATATTCTGAAACATATTTTATTACCAAGCTATTTTAAATTACTACTTCACAGAAAAAATATGTATATTTTTTATTAGAATAGGCAAATGATGCTACCCATAGAAATAAAATAAGTACTTTTGGAATATAAAAGCTTATTATAAAGTTCTATAGTTTAGTTATTAAATCAGTATGTCATTCTTTAAATTTTTTTTAGAGGGATTTTTGCTATAGGGCACATGTGCTTGCCCGAGAGACAGAGAGACAAAAAGTGAGAAATCACCCCTAAGGAGGATAGGCACATCACAGTCCCTTCTCCGTTCTCCTCTCAAGATCTTGGGCACTCATGCGCATGCACCCAGTGTGAGTTTTAAGCTGCTGGGTCTGGGACTGGAACTGTGGTCAACTACGTGTACAGTGGCTTACCCATTATGCCATTTGCTGGTCCCAATTCTGTTAATTATTTACACCTAGTTTATTGAGATCTTATTTTATGACTTTTCACAAAATGGCTTTGGTATCCAAACCTCAAATACCTCTTTCTTC